CGGACCCTGAGGAGGATTGTGGAGAAGGGCTGATTCCAGACCTTGGGGGACCTGCGGAAGCAGTGGACTGAGTCTGGAGTAGAAACATCCAGAGCCACCGTGCACAGGCGTGTGCAGGAAATGGGCTACAGGTGCTGCATTCCCCAGGTCAAGCCACTTTTGAACCAGAAACAGCAGCAGAAGCGCCTGACCTGGGCTACAGAGAAGCAGCACTGGACTGTTGCTCAGTGGTCCAAAGTACTTTTTTCAGATGAAAGCAAATTTTGCATGTCATTCGAAAATCAAGGTGCCAGAGTCTGGAGGAAGACTGGGGAGAAGGAAATGCCAAAATGCCAGAAGTCCAGTGTGAAGCACCCACAGTCAGTGATGGTCTAGGGTGTCATGTCAGCTGCTGGTGTTGGTCCACTGTGTTTTATCAAGGGCAGGGTCAATGCAGCTATCAGGAGATTTTGGAGCACTTCATGCTTCCATCTGCTGAAAAGCTTTATGGAGATGAAGATTATATATGGTAATATATATATCTCCTCTGGTTTACCTGGAAAACATGAAAAAAATAGACTCCTCTCCACAATCACGTTTTTATTTAATGATAATGTCACAATTTATGCTGCAGTCTTTGACAAATGATCTATAACTTGAACTAAATTACATCAATCTCTCAGAAAAGAGGCTAAATATTTTCTAGTTGAGTTCAGTAACTGGAATTACCATTAAAAAAAAAAATTATCACCTTTCAAAATTTAAGCTGTAATGGATATTTTAAAACGTTAAATTAGAAATAAACCCGTTTAAACTCGTCATGCTGCAGAGCAGCTGCAGTTAAAACACAACTAAGTTAACATGTTTCATTAACTAAAACTGGCGACATGAAGTATTAATGTTGATAAATTGTGGTACAGAACAGTCAGATAACGCTTCACAATGAATAAAAAGTGTATTTTCATCAACTTACCAGAGAAAACACAGAGAATGAACTACGTTCAATGTTGGAACCGCTGCTGTTTGGAACTATTTACCGCTGCATGACCCACTTGACTTCTGCATTCCATTCTTTCTATGGGAGTCTACGGAGTTTGTGGGAGTCTACGGGAGTTTATGGGAGTCTATGGGAGTGTCACAACTCTCTTTATAGGGCTCTGGGGATTCCCAGAGAAAGGCCACAGAGACCCCTGGGGTTCTATTGATGGACAGAAAAAAAATCTCTCTGTTTGGAAATGTGACCTGTAAAGCTGCGTTCTGAGAGAAGACGAGTGTTCGGCTGCCCCCCCTGGGGGCGAGGTGCGTTCAACTTAACATCCATTAAAAGCAGGGCGTGATCAGAGATCATTATGTCATCATATCTACAACCTGACAACAATGATAGTAATCTGTTGTCAATCAGAAAGAGATCAATACAAGTGAATGTGTGATGGACAGGTGAGAAAAACAAAAAAAACACGAGTACTCCCTTTTTTGAGGGGTTAAGAAAACGCCGAGCATCTGATATTGCAAACTCCTGCATAAAGACTGAATAACTTTGACTGCTCGAGATGAATTAATTGGCCTAGAAGAGGATCGGTCTAGCTTGGGGTCAAGCCAACAGTTGAAGTCCCCACCTAATTAAATAATGCACAGTTAAGTCTGGCAAACGAGAAAAAAGGTTTCTGTAGAAGGCCTCATCGTCACAGTTGGGTGCACAAACGTTGGCTACAGGTAAGCCCTGAATTGTCCCGATAACAATAATGTACCTGCCGTTTTGGGCCGAGGTAATTTGGTCAGAATGAAAAACTGATTTGTGTAGAGCACTTGGTTGACAAGTAAGGCGGGTAGAAATTTAAACGTAAAAGAGCGATGGAGGTGCTGTAACATAAAAACTAAAACCAACATGAAAAACACAGAACACAGTGAATATTTCGCAGAAGCACCCCCCCCCCCCCAACGGGATGCGCGAAACCCCCCACCCAAAGCAAAAACACCCATGATATGACCTTCAGAAGGCTGTAGGAGTGGTCTGTACGCTTACCCCCCCCCTCCCAACAAACCTCCCTGTGGAGTCTCATCAGTATCAGAACAGCATGAAGACACCTTTTTTTTCTCATTTCTTAACGATCAAGGAGTCGCCATGTTCAAAGGGAATAACAACCATGGCTACCAGTCCTCCCAACATCTCAACAATGCGACAGCATTATTGTAGAACCACAATGAGGGGAACGTAAGGCCAGCTCCAGCCAAGAAGTCAAACAGTACTCACCAGCCTCTGTACAGAAAACAGGTCCGGCAGTCCTGAGTCCCACCATTACAAACCAGTTCTTAAACAGAATCCGGGGCTCCCGCTTCTTTCTTCAGTTTCTTCTCCACAAAGTCCATGGCATCGGACACTCCTCAAATCGCCAGACACATCCATCTGGCAAAGTTATCCGCAGAATAGCTGGGTAGAAGAGGCCAAATTTAACATCCAGGCAGGAATGCAGCTCTTTCTTGACTTTGACAAAGGATGCACATTTCGGAGCGTCTTATTTATGTAGAAAATTATGATTTGTATTTCCAATGCGCAGCTTAGAGACCGGTGCGTTCTGTAGCCTGAGAACTAGGGTCTGTTTGTGCAGTGTTATGCAGCCACATGGTGAATTAATATGCAATCCTGCCACAGCTTAAGAGTTTTAACAGTTTTAGCAGCTGAACCAGACTTGTGCTGTCATTAAATAATACAAAACTTTACTACATGTCTGTTACTGAGTTTGTTTGTGGCTCCTTGGATTGATGAAGTCCTTCGGATGAGGACGAAACGTCTCGACAAAATAAAAATAAATCTTCCAGTTGACCTGACTGAACTTTGTTTGATTATTTTTACCTGGAATATTGAGCATGAACTTTGATACGTGTCTGTTAGACTTCGGGAAATGTTTTCTCTCTGTTTCTACTAAGTGTAAAGTATGATTTAGTTTTCCTAAACCTTGTTCTGCTCTGCTTTGTGTGCGTCAGGTGAGTTGCGAGATGCTGTGAAAAGTGGAGACTACATGGCTGTAAAGTTGGCCTTAAATTCCAAAGAAGACTACAATCTTGAACAGGAGGTATGTGCCATCTTACTCACTTCAGAAAAATTTGATTGAACCATTCACCCTGCCATCCCTTTTTTCCTGGTCAGCTTGTGCCTTATTGTTTTGTATCATTAAATATGACAAAAAAATTCAGAGCCTGCAATTTAAAGACAAAAGCATGTTTTAGTACTTGCACCTTGGTTCCCCGAGGGTACATGTGGGACAGGATGGGAGCGCAGTATAAGAAAATGTACTTAATATTTATTACGAGTATCTACAAGGCTGTGGTTGTTGCATACAGCGGTAATAAGACTGAATAGATTAAATAAGCAACTTGAACTTTAATACAAATTAAAGGTTGTTTGAAATTAAAAGTAAAATAAAGGCAAAATAAATCGTCTGGTAAGCCAAAATGTTTGACTAGCCTTGGATGACCAAAGCACTTTACCTTTGTAGTTCTGGAGTTGTTTTTGTTCCTAATACAACATTTCTATATAAAGTATTATCAGTTTGACTTCATCAGTGTCCTCTGTAATGACTTTGGAACAACTTAAAACTATATTTTTTGTAAATTTATTTTAGTAATTTCATGGTTATGCAGATTCAGACGAGATCTGCCTCGTTCCTTCAAATGGTCTCGGTCATGAGCCTGTTAGATGGTGGGTCGGGTATATTTTCTAAACTGCACCAAGGTCTTCAAGATCTACATTTAGACTTTACTTTTGGATGGCTTCCGGTAAATCAACGTCTCAAGATGATTCTTCAATTAAACCAGGTAAGAATATTTTATATTTCTTACAGAAATAAAGTGGATTTTTATTGAAAGATTTTAGATCTTTTATTGTCATACCTGCAAACTTGCCGCTTTTCTGCAAAATTCCACAATTTCAAACTAAAATATATAATTTACGTGAATCGTAAGTGAGTTGTTTTTCGGGGGGGGGTGGGGGGTCATTTCCCTTTACGAAACAGCGTTCCTCCTCGGTCACTTGGCTAGCAGGTGCTCATCTCTTCGGGGTTCTTGTTGTCATGGCGGCGGGGGGAGGAGGGAGAGGCACCGCCGTGTTGCGCGCTAGCTTACAGCAAGTTGTTGACCAGCGGGGGTTGGGTGGGGGGTTGGGTTGTGTGAGAGAAACTGAGCGTGTAGCATCTTAGCTAGGGCGTCTGTGTTGTGCACGGCGAGATTTGAAAAGTCCGTCTGATGGAGTTCTAGAGAACACCTGGAAGGAGAAAGATGGTGTTGGGGAGAAAGAAGCAAGTAACGCACATTTTCTGTAAAGTAAAATAGTTAAACTCGGTGATGGGGAAGGAACAGTGGAAATGAAAACAATGGGAGGAGGAGGTGGATGTTCATCCAGGAGGACTGTGAAGGAAACGAGAATAAAAGTTCTGCAGTGTGAACTGTGGCACCAAGGCAGGAAGGAACCTGTCAATTATTTAGTTTTAATAATTACATGCTGGTTGACAAACGGAGTAAATGTTTTAGTTTTTGTATCACTATTGCTTGGCACAGTGTAATTATTGTTGTGAAGGCTGCTGCCAGGTCCATCACGAAATCAGAAAACAGTCAAAAGTTTCCATAAATTCACTGCTGGTGGTTCTTAAAATGTTCACTGCGTAAAGTTAATATTCTTATTTTTAAACATGCAGTTCAGTGTCAACATTGCTGAGCACAACAGCATGTTGAGTTGCAAATAAAACTAAAACAACAACAGTCACGTGCACCCCTGAAGTCTTTGTGATAAACTGTCACATTCACGTCTTACATCTTAGCCGTAGGAGTTTAAAAACAGGATGATGTGGACTAGTTGAACCAGGTGTCTCTGGAATATCCTGATGCATGATCAATAATTTCAACTATTTTGATCCGTCCAGAGCACCGGACTTTATTTTCTTGATGTCTCTAAAATAATTATTGAATCGAGTGTTTGCATGTGTAGGTAAATGTAGATGTTCAACAACACGTTAAAATACACCAGAATGGATTACTTTATACAAAATGTTCTGGGAGATAACCCCACGCACACATGCACATTACACACACATGCACACATTACACATGCTTCTGTCACCAGTGGGCACAAAGAGGCACATGTCCAAGCAGCAGGGTTTGTTGTTAGCAAAATGTTCTGCTGTATTTGGTTTCTCTGGTTGTTTTGCTGCTGTTTGTTTATTTCATTTTTTTGGTTGACGCCATCTTTCATATGTTTGCCCTAATTAAATTAGGACATGTTAGCAAATGTCTTGTTTCCCTGAAGCATGTTGTCTTTTTGTTTTTTCTTGGAGTGTACCAGAATGATTAATTTACATGTTAAAAATTTACTAAATCTTCCGGGGGTTGGGGTTGGGGGTGGGGGGGCAGGCACTAAGTTGGTTACCTTTTTCATCCCTTCTGAGTTTGCAGGTATGCATTATGCAATTCCTTTTAATACCTGGTGAGCGCCTGGTTTATCTGGTTGTATTTTATCTAGCTATATCAACTTTGAGATAATTTATTGGTGTTAATTTTGGATCACTTCATGTTTAAAGAACCAAAGGGGCATTTTATCTACTTTCAACCCAAATTGTATTGTTCAAATAAATAAGAAGTGGACAAATTGTACATTCCTTTTTGACATTACTGCCTCACTCTGTTTTTGGCTTGATGACATAAATTTGCTTTATTTTATTGCTACCTAATATTAGCTACACAGTAGGGGTGTCAATCTCTGTCTCTGGCAATGCAATTCAGAAACAATTTTCAATTCGGAAACGATTTTTCTGTAGAAATGGTCATACATTTTGTTTAACTTATGTAATTGACAAGATGAAAAGATTAAACAACAATGTAAACAAGAGAATGTACCGAGAGAATATTGATGATGACTCATAGCAACTTTGTAATTAGTTTAGAAAAGTAGTTAACCACAAAGAGGACAGCCAAAGTGAGTTAATTCATTAAAGTAAATGACGGGAGGGAGACGTCCAACACACACTGAATTCATCACTCTGCTTCAGCACTGCAGATTTCTGTTCCACCTCTTTGGTTCTGATTGACCGGAATAATTTGAACTAGTTCAAGGTTCTTTATTGTCATTGTCATTTTTTTTTATTGTCATTATTCATTTATTGTCATAAAGCCCCAGTTACATCCAACAACAATACAAATATAAATTGTAAAAAGAAATAGTAATAAGGATATAAGAAATACGCTAAACACTAATGGTGCTAAACAATATGCCAAACAACAGGGAGTGTTGTTGTAGGTGGATCTGCAGCTGAGCAGCAACTGCTTTTTCCAGCATTTTTGACAGAAATGGGAGGTGGGAAATTGGGCGGTAATTAGAAAGAATGTCTGGATCCAAATTGGATTTTTTCAGAAGAGGCCTAATGATGGCAGTTTTAAGAGGCAGTGGAACATGACCAGATTGCAGTGACTTATTTATTATTTGTGTGATTAATGGGCTTATTGCAGAGTGATTGGATTCTATGAGACACGAGGGGAAGGGATCCAGGGTGTAGGATAAAGGTTTCATTTTCTTGATGATGGTCTCCATTGATTGATGGCAGTGGACCAACCAGAGCATTGTGCTCTGTGTCCCAGGTGCTGACTGACTCCGTAACTGTAGCATCAGTCTGTCTGCTGTCTTTAGCTGTGCTCTTTAAGGACCAGGCAGCCCGGCCTATGTCCAGGGACCATACCGCCGGCGTACAACCCACCCCCGTTCGCGTATCTCCGGGGGGCATCTTCTCCTGTCAAGCCCACAGCGCTTGCAGGGTGTGGCTGCCGGTGAAGACCTTCCTTCACGCTGTCCATGTCCTTGCGCTCGCCTCCCTGGGACCGACGGCAGAGACCCGCTCCAGCAGGAAAAGGAGGGCGGAGGCCACTGTGTGGACGGCACGTCAGCCCTCCGGGTGCACCACCACTATCGTACCCCTATGCCTCGAGTTCTTACCTTGTGCAACACTCGCTATATCAAAAGGACGATATATACAGATATATGTATATAAATACTAAAATTAATGTAACGTCCCTACTTCGTGGATTTTCACTTATCGCGGGGGTGTCTGGAACGTAACCCCTGCGATAAGTGAGGGACTACTGTATATGGTTTTTATGACTATGTGTGTACTTTATCTGTCTTGAAAATGAGTCCTTGTGACTCAGTGAGACAAACTTATATAAATAAAGGTCAAATGAAAAAAAAAACTCAAAGCTTTTTATTCTGAACAGGACATAAGCATTTGTAAATCACAAGTAAAGCGGTTCATAAATCCCAAGTTGGGATTTATGAACCGTTTTGAGTTATGTTCACTTACAACGTTGTCACAACAGTCTTACAGTGTCAGCAACAGCAGTGTATGATAAAAGTTAGCGGTTTAGTGTTAGCAAAGCCAGTTTTTCTTAGCTAGCGAGTTAGTGGTTAGCGAGGCTAACTTTTTGATTAGCTGTGCCCACCACTGATGATGGGGTCTAAAATGGTTTGATCAATATGCAATTTTATTTGAAGGCCTGTTTATCTTTAAGTATTTTTGTATCATTTGAACATTAGAGACTATGTTGTCTTCTTTTTTTTACAGTGAACAACACCGTTAAAGATAACACATGGAAGGTCCTGGACAAGATGAGCTGTTTTAAAACAGGTACTTAATAAATGTGATTTTAGAATGTGGAATATTTGTAATCCTATCGCTGTATATTTTGGGTGTTGCTTGGGGCATGCAAGAATTAAAATTAATATTTGATATGAATTTTTTAGCACTTAAGTATTTTTATTTAAAAAAATAATAATAAATAAGCTGGACACTTAGGTGTTCCTTATGTATAAGTCAAAACATGTCATGCCTGTAGATTCAGCATCAGTGCATGTTCTGCATACTTCGTGTAGCATTTCTTTCAGAACGCTATGAATACTTGGTTAGAGATTTACACTGTCAAAATGCTGCTTGATCCAATAAAGCTATTAATTGCTCTTAAATGGGTCATATGTGGTTATTGCACTGAAAATTTGGGTTTTTGATATGAACTTTGTGCTAAATAGCAAGGTGTGTCC